ACTTGTTAGCCTGTTCCATTCTTCTTTGTTTTCCGAAGCCGTGGCTTGGAAGCATACTTGCTTCGTTTCTGAAGGAAGTGACTTGGAAGTACACGACTAACAAACCAGCATCCTCGAGGTTGAGAAACGGCCACAGTCTCTGGGTGTTTCTCAATCGCGAGTACGCTTGCTTGGTAGCACATGTCTTCCGAGTCACTTCCTTCAGAAGCTAGGCAAGAATCCTTCCTGGCATTCGGAAAACGAAGAGTGGAACAGGCTAGCAAGTGTGCAGGTGTGCGTCATATGAGAGGCCCCGCCTTACATTTTCCACCACAGATTTGGGGAAATTGGTCCGTGCGCAAAGCATTGTGGGGATTTTAAGGACGCCAAGTGTCCCCATGTGCAGCCTCGAAATTTCCCCCAAACCAAGGACGCGGTCTGGGTGGAATTCCATGTATGCTGGACATTCGAACGGTCCTGTTGCGCCACTTAATGACGTAGCATCCTTGAAATATTGGCTTGGAAGCCAGTATCCTCGAGATTGAGAAACGGCCTCTCTCTGCTGAACCTTTTTTTATCTTGTTTAAGGAGAAAAGCCGAAGTATAATAACGGCATGATGGTTTGACAGGGGTTACATGTTGGACTATTTCACTCCTGGAAACCTCACACTAATCACAAGAATGATTCAAATGTAAATTGAGATGTAATATTAAGATGTAGATTCAAGATTTAAATGTGTTGCTTAGATTCAGTGTTTAGATTTAAAATGTCAATTTCATGTTTAGATTTCACTTTTAGATTTAGTTTTAAGATTATATTTACCAATTAGATATCATATTTAAATGTAACTGTTACACTAAAGACAATACTGTTTAACATTAATATTTAGAACATTAGATTGAACTTGAACCCAAAACATTTACGTATTTTAAAATAAAAATCTATAAATACTGTAAATGTTAGAAATCTGTCAGCTGCTCATTATGCTCATAATCTAACCCCATGTGAGACTTGACCCCAAGAGTCTCTGAAGTAGTGGTGATACCAATGATAGCAGTTACAATATTAGTAATACAATGTATTAGATTCAATAAAAGGGAGAGAATAGCTATCTGAAATACTGATAGAAACAGAATAGGATAATGCAGTGGGAGGAGCAGACCTGTTCTCCAGGAAGATGTGGCTGGAGATGTCCACAGGGTGTAGGGTGGGGGTGGCCCAGCATTTGTTGATGACTACTTTAATCTGCTGTGAGGAGGTGTTGAGGCTGACCTCCACCACCACTGCCTCCTCAGAGGACAGGCTGTAGTTGTGGGGCAGAGGCATGGTGCCGTTCATAAGCTGCACCGTCACCTGGAACTCCCCCGAGCCCGTGATGGTGAGATCTTTGATCATGTCATACCTGGAAAAGGGTAAGAAATCAAATATAAGTCTACAGCCATAAATAAACAGGGCACAATTCAAAATCGTTTTAAAGAAGAGCTTTTTCTTAAATACATAAATTAAACTGCACTTAAAAAACCGAAACGTTGAATTAAATCTATTAAGTCAACACATTTCACACTGTATTAGATTAGTTGAAAGCAATGATTTGAAGTTTAAATAACTAAGCTAATACAGCTATGTGAAATTTGTTGACATGATATATTGAATTAAAAGTCAAGGTTTCAGTTTTTTCAGTTTGACCAAAACCTCTAAAGCTCACTAATTAACATGCAATTTTGTTTTTTAAACTTCACAAAACGTGTACTAATTTACATGTGCTGTTAGGGCTCCAGGATGTCACTAATGAGCACTGGTTACTTTAAGAGCTTTAGAGGTGCTGAGAGGCTATTTGTTTGATGGTTTATGAAGAGTCAGGCGAGCTACAGTATTATCCCCTGTTCCCAGTCTGTATGCTAAGCTAAGCTAACCATCTGCTGGCTCCAATTACATAATACTGTCAGTTCCTTCATCAAGACTGGTATTCATCTTCTCATCCAACTCAGGTGGTAACAAAAGGGCCAACTGCTTCTGCTGCTTTGGCAAAATGCTAAACTACAATAAGTAATAAAGAATGACAGCAAGTGAAGCGTACCCCATAGAGCCGAAGTCAGCAGAGATGAGCATGCTCTTCATGTAGGAGCACACGATGGGAACCTCCAGCTGTATCTTGGGAGCCTCCACTGTCCCACTGTCTGATGTGTACATGTCCATGGTATTGAACAGGGTTACAGATGCTGTGTAGTACGTTTCATTCTGAAGAACCAGATGTTGGGAGCAGTGTGGGTTATTTTCAGAGTCAATCTCTTCAGTTTTACAAAATAAGGAGCATAGGAAAACGCAACAGCTTCTTAAATTCAGAGGTGAAGGAAGTACTCAGGTCTTGTACTTAGGGTTGCAAAGGGGCGGAAAGTTTCCGGTAAATTTCCGTAAAGTTTTTTTAATTTTTTTTTTTTTTTTAAATAGAACAGAACAAGTTTTAATAATTTTATTTAACAATTATTTGTTTCATTGAAGAACGAAAACAGGAATGTTGAGTTAAATGTTACTCATACACCCCAACCCCACTCATTAAAACATGAACAAAAATGCACACCCCATCCAAAGATCCCCACAAAGTCCCATTCAAAATGTTAAATGAAAAGAGCCCTTCTCCCTCCAAAAAGTCCCATTAAACATGCAAATCTTCCTTCAAGCAATCCTCTGCATTTTTGCTAAATGCTTTCAGTCAATTGGCTCTTCCTGGGCCTCATCAACATCCAACTCTGAGTCTTCCTCTTCAGTTTCACTGTCCAGCCTTTTGAGGATGGCTCTGTATCAGGCTCAAAGAGCCTTAGCCCGAATGCCAACCAGTTTTTCCACTCTCACAATTTTGAGCCCGTTGCGAACCTTTCTGTGGTCTCAATAGCCATGCAGTAAGCAGTGTACTATGGCATGGATATTCAAGTGTACTTGAATGGCATCGGTATGTTTTAGTCAAGATTATGATAAAATATACTTTCCCCGACTATATTTAAGTTCCCTATGAAGAGCCAACCTTCAATTTTGAAAATTCCCAGTTTATTCCCAAATATTCCCAAATATTCCCGTTAATTCCCGTGGAAAGTTTCCATCTTTGAAAATTCCCGGAAATGTTGCAACCCTTACTTAAGTAAAAGTAAAAATACCACAGTGTAGTCATTTAGAAGTAAAAGTCCTGCATTCAAAATGTTACTCAAGTAAAAGTACAAAAGTATTAGCATCAACATTTAATTGAAGTACCAAAAGTAAAAGTGCTCATTCTGCAGATTGGCCATTTTCAGAATTAATATATATGATATGTTTTGATTATAATTATTGATGCATTAATGTGTTATCAAAATGGTAAATGTTAATGTAATTTTAATTACTTATATACTGCAGGTGAATTTACTCCAGGTGTAACTACTCCTTTTTTAAGTGTTGTTTATAATTGACATTATTAATCAAAATCTGCTAAGTAACTAAAGGTTTTAAATACATGTAGTGGAGCAAAAGTACACGATTTACCGCTGAATTGTAGTGGGGTAGAAGTAAAGTAGCAACAAATTGAAATACTCAAGTAAAGTACAAGATCTCAAAGTTGTACTTAAGTACAGTACTTGAGTAAATCTACACTGTAAAATATTACCATGATTTCACAATATTTAGCTGTAATATTTTACAATAAATTACTGTTTTACCACCTTACAGTCTTTACCTGTAATGTTCACAATATAATACTGTAATTTAGAATTTCACACTGAAATCAATACAGGCACAGTTAATTACTGTGAATGTACAGGATAAATGATTACCAGGATTTCACAACATGTTACTGTATTATTTCACAGTAAAATACTGTATTCAGACCATCCTCTGTGATAACACAACAAATTAAGGGATTTTCTTGCTTTTATCGCTCTTGCTTGGCTTTAAATACCAATTTATTTCTTTGGTGCAGGTTTTACTTAAATTGAAAGGGGCACCGCTGCGCTGCATGTGCCTTAAAATAAACGATGCAACATATAAATCTATGTAAAATTGAAATTGTTGTCTTGGCTTATTGTTTTCAGGTGCTTCCTGGGCATTAATCCTGAGACGGGCTCGAAAGCCAAAAAGAGGCATGGCAATTTAAACCCCCATGTCAACACATTCTTCAGAAAATGGTTGACTTCGAGTGGATGTCTGTGTAGACATGTGTTACGTGCTCCCCTCCTTGTTTTCAGCACCTGGTCTGCCCCTGGCTCCGCCTCTGCCCAGGTGCACCTGGTCTGCCCCTGGCTCCGCCTCTGCCCAGGTGTTCCAAATTCCACTCAGCTGTGTATATATAAAGAGAAGCTAGAGGAGAAGGGTGTCTCGTCTATCCTAACGCCGGGAGACACTCTCCTTAGAATACCTCTTTGCCATTTTGAGCTGTAGGCCATATTTTTGCAGATGTGTTTATGTTTAGCCTGGAGGACCTGGTAGTCCAGTTTTCGCGGCTTTATTTTGTTTCCCATTTCGCTTGTGTGAGCAAACGGCTGATTATCAATAAATGCTCGTTACCAAGTACCGGTTATTGCGTGTATTCTTTCATGTTGCGAGTCTCAACACTAGCCACTACCGCGGAGTAGAGGTTGGGGCCATAACAACATGTCCAAGACACTGTGAAATGTACTTTGCACTTCAATGGAGTAATACAAACTTAAAATGGGCATTTTCTTTGTTTTTCTTTGTTGATTGAGCTGATTGAATTGTGTAGTTATGGTAAAATCCCAGTTAACTAGTCAAATTTACAATATATTATCGTATTATTTACATTTGTATATTTACAGTAAATTACTGGCTACTGTGTTGCATTACTTCTACAGTAATAGTGTGAAAATACAGGTAATTACTGTAATCTATGTACAGCAAGGTACCATAATACCACAGCTCTGTACTGCTATATCACAGTAATTCCATGGGCATGGCAACTGTATAGCCACAGTATTTAGTTGTACTTTTATTCTAATTTACTGTAAAATATCTACAGTAAATTACTGTGAAATATTTACAGTCAATTACTGGGATATATTTACAGTAAATTACTGTGAAATCCATGCAACTAGTAGCCAGTAATTTACTGTAATTTTACAGCCAAACATTTTACAGTGTACTTAGTTACTTTACACCACTGATTAAATGCAACACTTTTAAAAAAACTCACATGCACAAGCCTGGTGCCACACTCATTCCAAGCCACGGTCAGCTGGGCGTGCAGGGTGTTGCCTCCATTGACGCCACATTCAGGCAGGCCTAGGTACAGGCTGCTCTCCCTGATGTTGTTCCTCAGGAGAAAAGCCCTGGAAACTGTCACCGTTATTGCAGCAACCCTGCACTGGACTGAGATTTCCCCCAGAGTAGAGGCACTGGGGGCAGTTCTCAGGGTCGTAGTAGTGGATGGAGGAGCTGTAATGGTGGAAGTGGGGTTGGTAACACCGGTTGAAGGGCTAGATGTCATGGATATCATTGCAGAAGTGGTGATTACAGGGGCAGTCATGATGGTTGTTAGGGCATTAGGGGTGGTTGTAGCAGCAGTAAGTGTTGTTGTACGGGCAGTTGTTGGGGCAGTCGTGGGGATTGCAGTAGCTCTAGGGGTGATTATAGGGGCAGTAGTAGGGGTTGTTATGGTAATGGTTGTTGCTGCTGTAGTGGTGGTTGCAGAAGAAGACATGGTGGATATTGGGGCAGTATTGGTGATTGCAGCGGCAGTAATGGTGGTTGTATGAGCAGCAGTGGTGGTTATATTAGCAGTAGTAGTGATTGTAGGAGCAGTAATGGTTGTTGCAGGGGCAAAAGTTGTGATTGTGGGAGTAGTAATGGTGGCCGTTGGAGCAGCAGTGGTGGTTATATTAGCAGTAGTAGTGGTTGTTAGGGCAGTGATGGCGGATGTTGGAGCAGTAATGGTTGTTGGAGCAGTGGTAGTTGGAATGATGGTTGTGGGAGTAGTAATGGTGGTCGTTGGAGCAGTAGTGGTAGTTGGAGGGGCGGCAGTTGTGGTTGTTGGTGCAATAGGAGTGGTTGTGGGAGCAGTAATGGTGGTTGGAAGGGTGCTAGTTGTAGTTCTTTGGGCAGTCGTGGTGATTGTTGGTGCAATAGTGGTTACTAGGGTAGCAGTGGTTGTTGTTGAAGTAGGGGTGGTTGTGATTGCTGAACAACAAAAAAAAACCTGGTTACACAAAGGTTACAAACTGCAAAGATATTCTGTCGGTACTAAATATATATTATAATCGTTGTAAAATGAATCTTTCCCACTACCACATGGGAGCGTACCGTGACAGGCTCGGCCAGGCCTCTCTGGGTTGTTGTCTATAAATCCATCCAAGCAGACACATGTGTAGGAGGCCCAGGTGTTTGTACATGTAGCCAACAGGGAACAGTCATTTTCTCCCATGGTACACTCATTAAAATCTATAAAAAAGACATGCATTACAATTAGTTTGTACTTTACTTGAGTATTTCCATGTAATGCGACTTTAAACTTCTACTCCATTACATTTAAAAGGGAAATAATGTTACTTTACTTCACTACATTTATTTATTTATCAGTGCATTTATTAAACAGTTTTAACTAATTTTGACAAAATGCATTTCTAAATATGTAACTAGTGGACCAACTCTTCAAGTCACAAAAGAGTCAAATTATTTAAACATTTTAAAAATAGACAATGAGAAATGTGCTTGTCTCCAACAGTAAAATTCTACTTGATGCAGAAAGATTATGTAGTAACAATAATAATGTAATAATAATAATAATAATAATATTTAATAATAATAATAATAATAATATTTAATAATAATAATAATGATTTTGTACTTTTACTTAGGTGCAATATTGAAATCAGGACTTTTACTTGTTTTTCACAATATTGTATGGTTACTCTTAATCAAGTAAATCATCTGAATACTTCTTCCACCTCTGTTGTTTTTTGATACGACATAGGTTGTCTATAAGGCTCTGGTATGGGGTAGGATCCAAAAGTGTTGAATCCTACAATTTCCACAAAAGAACTCCATTTTGGTATTCCGTCAATTTTCAAGTTAATGCCTTTGTCTTTCAGAAAGAGTTAATAAGAGATTATAAAGATGACATACCATGTGTGCTTGTGTTGTTTTTATCCACTGTATATTTGGTGCTATTCAGTAGGGAGTGCTGCAGAGCTGTGGACACATTAGCGATGTCTTGGCTTTCACTGGGGGCGAGGGTCATTGTAAAGTGGACGAACACACTCCCCTGGGAAAAGCTTGTGATCTCGATTCTCATCTGGCCTGAATCCACCATGGCCTTCATCTCTGGAGACAGAGACTGGTAGATCTGTAGGAGATAAAGTCCCACAGGAAGAGAGGATGAAACAATACAAATTGTTGATTGAACTATGGCAATTCATGTTTCCAGTGTATTCAAAGATTACAAGCTGTCCCTGGATAATACTCGTAAAACACCTACCTCCTGTGTGATACTCTCAGTGAGGTTTTGGTAGGCCTGGCTGCTGCCATTCTGCAGGTCAGCAGAAAACTCGATGTTGGTAAGTCGTGTTGTGGCTTCGAGTTTCTGAGCATCTACAAAGAAAGAAAGGACTTACTTGGTACACACATTACTGTCAGCACTTTCACCAGCCCTAGGCCTAATGCTTCAAAACGTATTTTCTTTTGTTATCCACACATTAGTCATTACAGGGAAATGTTATCGCATTAGAACTGCATTGGACCTGATTTTGGTTGTTGTATTATCTGTTTGCTGTTTTATTATGACACTCTCCTAGTGTCTATTTTTACTTCCTCTCTTGCTGTTTCCCGCCTTTTTGTGATTGTTTGCCCCTGATTCTATTCACCTGTGTCTAATCATTCTGCTGCCCTTGTGTTTTGCCTGCCCCCCAGCCGTATTGTATCGTTATGATTAGTTTCTGTGTGTATATCCCAAAGTCTTAGGGTTCGTTGTCGATGTTTTGCGTCGTGTTGTTTTGCCTGTGTTCCAACTGCTGTCCGATTTGTTCCCTATATTGTTTTGCTGCTTTTCATATTGCGTTGCCTGCCCCCTTAGTTTTGTGTTTATCTGTTGTTTGTATCAGCTTTACTTTTTCATTGCAGATTGTCTTTGGTTATTTACACCCTTCAGTTTCTACTTCGCTTTGCTCGCGTTGCTCGCTGCAAAAGTAGAGCAATGTTCTACTTTTGAAGCTTCGACGGAAGCGTCAGCCAATCGAATCATATGCCAGTACAAGCTCTAGCCAATCAAACCAGTGGTTGCATCTAAGTTCTGAACTCCCACCACACAGCTATTGTATTCCCTAACTGTAGCTTTATGACATTACTGTAAATGATAAAAAAAAAAAGATCCAAAAGTCAAAGCTACTGGAACAGTCTATTTCTTTTTGGTGCACAGTTCTTACCAGTCTTGACTGATATATCTAAGGTGATTCCTTGTTGGCAGGACCTGGGTGTGACAGCCACTGTGTAGAGAACCCCAGGCTGCAGATCCCTCACCTCCATCATGGTCTGACTGGTGACTCCTGAATGAATGACCTCTGACCTTTTGCTTAGGACAACCTGGTACGTCTGGTTTGTCTGAAACTGGCTGGACCAGTGGACACGAAAGGAGGTTCCAGTGACATCAGCTGCCCATACGCTGGTGATATTGGCAGGATCTGGAAGGTGGAAGTGGAAAGGGGGGAGATATGTATCGTTATATTCAGTCATTGTGGTTAAAGGAATAATTTGACATTTATTGTGAAATACAATTATTTCCTCTCGGCCGAGAGTTACATTGTGTTACTTATTATTTTACTCTGAGAAGAAAGCGAATAAGCCTATTCTCCAAAATATCAAATAAAATGTTTCCTACAGCTAAAGGATCAGATGTAATTAATGACATGCAACACATAGAACTGGATGTCTTATCAATGCATTTGAAGTTAAATGTTTTTGACTTAATCAAGTAAATCGAGTTTTGATGTTAATACAACTCTGGCTACTTTGGCTTGTAATTCAAGATGAGGGAGATTTTAGGCAGCCTCGAGATAAAAAACCTTTCTTACAGCATGTGGTTGTTGGCAGCGGGGACTCTACAGTTGATCTCAGGCTGCTATAAGGTGCAGAACTTGTCCACTGCGGGGCGTTTGATGAATTATAAGCGACGGTGCTTGTATTACTCAGAGCTGTAGGCATGCTGGTCCCTGTGGAGCTGAAGGAACCCTCAGTGATGTTCCTAACACGCTCCTGGGTGCTGTTGAAAGCTGAGATTGTGGTTGTGTTCATGGGTGGAACAGAGGTAAGACAGGGCTCTGGAGTGGTCTCCGCCCTGAAGTCAGCTGGGGAGAAAAGAGACAAGTTGATCTAAGCTTCTGATGGTGGACTTGAATGCATCAGTGGTGATGACAGAATGTTCCCACATTAAATGTAACATGAATTCCCTTGTTCAGCAGTTTCCAGTGACTTGAGGAAGTACTTTGGCACATGTTGTGTCCTCCTATTGTGTGTCTACCACATTTGAAAAATGACCTGCGTATTATGATTCTACCCTAGCACAGGATTTCTGTATTTGATTACACATTTCTTGATAGTATTTTTTCCTGGATGTGCCTTCTTTCCTGCGTCAGACCTTTCAGCAAGAGAATCTAAGGACATTTCCACATGATGTGACCCTGATCAGAATATAAAGCTAGAGCGTAGAAAACATAAGCCCACAAAAATGCAAGAATCATACTCAAAATCACCAAAGAAAAAACGTAGCTCTAGCTAATCATTAATTATCAAATTGTTAACAAATGTCCTTAGCCATTGCACAGGCACAGAATAAATATCTTACTCAATTAGCTATATGACTACATTAGCAAAGAATATGGAAAATAATCACACTGTAAATCTCCACTGGGGATCCCCCATCCCCAGTGGAGATTGCATCTGAGGCTGAAGTTGTTTCTGTGTGCTTCACAGGCAGATTTCGCCTCAGGCCACACAAGCTCACCCACCCTCTTGGTGGAGGTTGTTGGATTTTTCTCTAACTCCTTTGAATTTGAGGTCAAACATAATAATCAAGCTGATTTATTTACAGATCATCCCTAACACATTAAAACTGGCCAACAATCAAAGATAACTGAGTAAAATAAAATGCTTGTTGTAAAGATGGAAATAAACTACTTTCCTTTTTACTTTATTTTGGAAATGTCTGAATGATTTAAGTGCCATAACATCCGGATTTGCGCATTATAATGCAGCCGTTTATGTGGCTTTTTGTAACATTATATGGAATGCTTGATACTCAATTTAAGCATAATTATTTAATTATTTAACATCATAATGTATTACTTTTTTGATTCAATATGTTTGACACACACACACACACACACACACACACACACACACACACACACACACACACACACACACACACACACACACACACACACACACACACACATACACACAGTCTAACCTGTGCAATGGGCTCCAGGGTTACTGGGGTCAACATTTACATATCCTTGGTGGCAGGAACAGAGGTAGGAGCCCACTGTGTTGTTACAGTCTGAGTGGGGGGAGCACCCACGCAGAGCAGACAGTGCACACTCATCCACATCTGCATTACAAACACACACAAACATGTTACACTGGATTACATTTTAAATAAGAGTCTTAAGAGGAAATACATTTAAACTGTGCAATATGAACACATACAGTATGTTGTTTTAGAAAATCTATTGTAAAGGTTTCATGTAAGAATACTGCTTCACTGAAAAAACTGAAACGTTGATCTATCATGCTATATTTGAATAATATAGTGTAGGACCATACTTATATAAGGCCTATTTATACTTTTTATTTTTCAAAATACCAAACAGATCATGCATTTTAGCCATTCCTCATTTCGCTCAATTTAACACTGTCTTTGCATGGGCTGATTCTGTGAGAACAGCACCATCTACAGGCCTGGCATATGTACTACAGCGTCTCCAGCGCTTTCCAACGGCAATGTCCGTGGCTGTCTCGTCCTGATTGGTGGAGTTGGCCCAATAGCCCTAGCGCCACTTCTGTGACGTCCCAGAAGTGTTCAAATCTGGATCAGTCTTTATCAGATCCGTTGCAGCCCCTTTTTAAGAGATTTGGCTATGGAGGAAAAGAGAGAGAGGGTTGTGTTTTCTGACACTTGGTGAGTTCCCTGGAACACCGGGGACACATTTTCATGTATAAAAGACGTACACAAGTGCATTTCAGCAAAGACCCCCCCCCCCCCATCCAAGTTCAAAATACTAATTCCGTTTCTACAACCCAGCAGCCGGTGAAAAATCGCGTATTAAGTAGTTAACTCGAATAACGGTACTCCTGTAAGTCCCTCAGCGTAAGCCCGCCTCTCGAAGTGAGTGGGTCCAAAGATACGCCAACCAGAGTAGCACACCGGCTGACTTTTCTATTTTACGCCCCCCCCCCTCCCCCCTCATTATCGCAGAGACTATAACCTTTAACAAGTTCCCCGGACCCAGTTTACACCTCCCCCGCATATGCGGGACCGTCATAAACCCCCTGGTGACTAATCTACTAGGTCTTCATCCTAACCCTCTACAGTAATATCCAATTACTACTTATGGTTTTATCTGAAAAAACCATTATTTGGAAGTTGTATCTGCAAAAACCTCCTCTTTTCTTACGACTTAGCGTAGGTTTCTTGTGGTTGGATAGACACATTTGTACCCCCCACCTATTGTAGTAAACGAAACACCCGACAAAGAAGACGTTTCCCTGTCCTTGACTAGGCCACCATTGATCCTTTCTTATGCCCCGGTACAAACATTAAAAAACTCACCTGTTGGGGGAAAGGTAGTCGCCTCCCGTAACTTTAAGTCACAGAAATCGTACTGTATACTGTTTGTGTTAAACAAAAAAAAAAAAAAAAAAGGCGAAAATAGAACCAAACCGTTGCTTCCTCACCCGAAAAGCATTTCTTCAGGTAAAGTTACAGGACCTCACCTGTAACGGTCAGGGTCTAGAAGTTGGGGTAATCTTTTGAAACTCCCTCCAACTTTCAGTCACAACCGGCGTCGCTGTCGGGGTTTTAGTAGTTGAACGAGATCTCCTCCAAGAAGTCCCTCCTTACCCGTTTTTTATGGTGGTGTTACCAACACTTCTTGGAACCATTCTAATGTCTTTTGCAAAACTGGAAGAACAGGTACGGCTTGTTTCCCATATAGTATCTGTTCATAACTAACTACTTAAGGAAAACAATAACTGGTCTATTCATAATGAAGGGTGGTATTAAAACCGTTTATTAGCACTAAAAGACCTAAGAAAAAAGAGTGCAAAACATAGAGTTTCAAAAACTACCATTAATCGGGACCTACACTATTAATGATCCGGAGAAGAGTATAGAACAATAATGACCCTCTTGAAATTGTTAAACACCGAACTGAATTATGAAAAAAAACGAGGGTGACATACCTACCGTTGGTAGATTACGTCCAATTTAGAATCTTTACTCTTTTTACGTTCGGAGTAAGTGACTTTTACGAAGTTGACCGAAGTTGCAACTGAAAAGGTACCAGGGTGGAATGTGGTATAGTTCTAAACAGGCAGTTTCTCTTGGTGTCGACGAAGAAGTAGTTTAGTGAAGTTGATAGTACCCCTAACACATTGTCGAATAAAACTGCACGTGGTTATTTTTATAATTTTTCTTGTGATAGTTTCCAGCATTTCTTCGTCGTAGTTGATGGACTCGGTTGTATCACTGCGAGACGGTGTGTATTTAGGTAATGTCCGGACTAACTTGTCTCGTGTGGGGATTCGGGGTTTAGAGAAATATGTTGGGGGTCATCCTTTCATGATTCGAAGAAAATGGCTAATCGTGATTCTCCGCGGTCGTGAAGTCGTTGTGATCACGGAGGACGAAAGATAAGTCACATGTCATGTTTTAAGCTTCATGTCACACTGGGTATAATAAATCTTCATGTAAAAACTCCAATAGCAAACGACCGATAGTACCGGATCATTGTAGATGAATCACGTCCTTAAACTTTAACTTTAGGGACCATCTACTTTATAGCACCAATTGTAACCGAAACATAAACGTCGGATTTTAGCAACCGGACTTTATCCGTTAAGTTGTAAAATCTTTTAAATTGATGTCTACTATTAACATATTCTTCCTATGTTTACATAGAGTACAATAATTATGTGAATAAAGACACGTATAACTTGTCATTAGTTCATCAACCTGGACCTTTGTTTTGTTCGTTTATTTGATTGTAATACACCCAAGAAAGTCTTTTACATTTTCAGGAAACTGGGATAAATTCTTATTTTTAGAAGATTTGGTTTTCTATTACTAGGTTTACTATGTTTTTCCATTTTATAAATAATTAAATTTTATCACATTTGTCTATTTGTCGAGAACCATAATATTCTTAAACAAACAAAACAAGTCTTCTATATACTACCTAAAACGCACAAAGTATATTGATCTCAGGCTTATGAACAAAAAATTACGGGTGGAACACTATAAATTTTTAATACCTAGCGAGATGTAGACCTGAAAAAACGAAAACCCTCAACCTCGAACAGGACTTCACTTAGTACGTATTATACATTTTTGGGGGACCTGACAAACAATAACACGAGGTCTTTTTCATAGGGATTTAATCTCGAAAAAAATTTATTTACACGTACTATACCATAGAAAAATTCGTACTCCATAATTTTTTGTCAAATAAGTTTAGAGAGTATTATCGTAACTCGCTTCCACATTGAACTATAGAAACTACGTCAAACAGTCTATACACAAACCGTCACCCACGACTTAACTATAATTGAAACGATTTAGTGCATACGACTGTCTGTTATGGTTTACCTATTAGGTTCAACACGGAAATTTTTCGTTCTGGAACCGGGTGGTCCTAGAGTGGACAATACAGTCACCAAGGAGGGGTAGGTCTATTGTTTTGACTCCCAGACCTAACTTAGGCGTCGGCAGTTTGTACTTTGCCCTGTCTCCTGTCAAAAACAATGTAGGGATACGATTGTGGGTGCGTAAACAGAGTCCTCAGCCAAAAAGGGAATACTCTCTGGGAGTCATTTGATGGAACAGTTGGGTTCGTCGAAATGCGCGGGACCCACGGATGTTACTAAGAACGTAGTACGGGAATAAACCGAAGGGGTAGTTGAAGGAGTGAGACAAACAGTGGTAGGTTGTGTTTCTCGGACGCATTTGGGGAGATTAGTGTAGGACGACTTGGAACGGACACCGACTGGAGAAGTTACCAAACTCCTAAGAAGTGGTGGTGGTTAATGTCGAGATTACGTGCCGATGAGCAGGATCCTGCGGAGCCGACGTTATAACTTCTCCTAAGAAACGATGGGAACCACCGTGTCTAACGGAGAACCGAGGTGACCAACAAGGGACCGGATAACTTTCCACCTAGCCAACAGGACGTTCGGGTATCAATCGAAGGCGAAGCCCCTCTAGTGCTTAGTACAACTCGCCCAACCCGAGCGAACCCACTACCGAAGTCGACACCGAACACGGGGGAGACAGCGCAGGAGCATGTAGTGGACTCCCGTCGTCACGAGGTACACCTTTAGCTGATGATGGTGTGCACGTCTTCCTAAGTGTACTCAGGAAATCAAACAAATGATGTAAAAACAGACGTGAAGGACCAGGGTTACTAATAGTAAAAAGACCGATGCACAACAGATGAGAACACGACAGGTTTCTTCCGAGACGACGGGTCGTTACAACTAGGACTCTGGTGAATGCTCCCGACTCTCCCCTTCAGTCGGGCCTACCATTTCATTGATTACCCAGGGAAAGGAAGTGGACCAGCACGAACACCAAGGGCATAACGGTCACCGTACTCTAGAGACGTTAGTTCCCTCGATCAAGCCATGGTGAGAAGGTACTGGTAAGGACCAGGAAGAAACAGGTTCCTACAAGAGGCAGATGTTGGGTTATAGAATGTAAGACGTTACTTCGTTCGGTCAGGACGGTGAACGTACTAGTAGAGTGGCAAAAACCACGTAACGCCATTTTTAGGTAAACTTCCTCCTCCTTCCCGCAGGAGATTGGATTTCTGCTCCGAGCAGACATAGGTGTAGCTCGAGACCACAGGAGGGACGTATGTTTCCTGGCAACTGTGTCCGTAGGTACTAGGTTAATAGTAGTTCTTCTTCTGAAACGAGGGGAACCATTGCTGACTTCGATTAAGATGTCTTTATTGAGGAAAAAATAAAAAAATGTTGTACAAAAACCAAGTTGGTTTTGTCAAGTCTTTCCAGCCGGTATGGTCTTCAACAAGAACAATAGAACGTCTTATAGGTTGAATTTTTACATAAAAAAGGTTCTTCTTCCCTTTTTTAGAACAATGTCAACCTTAGTAGTACTATGCGAATAAAAAACTTTCAATCTGGTCAATGGTTCCGTTACATTTTATCCTCTTCGCCAGTGAAACGTTTACTAGAACAGACAACGTACAAAATAAATTTTAACCCCCGTTTTTCTCGAAATATCATGGTGATCACGGACGAAGACTATGGTCTCGAAAAAAACCACGCCTATAAAACCCTTCTATCTTTTTACTCTTATCGCAAAAATAAAGGAAAACATTGCGGTAGAACGTACACGATGAGGACCACAAAATAAAGTTAAGTGCTCCCGTGGAAACTTAAATTCTTAACCGGATGGATTCCTTCAATACGTTGTAATAATTAGTTCCTCTAAGTTATCTACACTCGTGGTTGAAACATCAGATTGGAAATAAATTACACTAATATAGCAGTAATCTAATTCCTAATAGTCCTATTGTCATAAGTAGTCTCTCAGTGTAACTACGTTTTCCCACAATACACTATACCTGTTGTTAAACTTGAAAATGCCATGAAATTATACTTGAATGTTACATAAATAAGTGTCCCCCCTCATATCTATATACTATATTACGGAAATGATAATTATAGTATGGATATTTTACAAAGATTCTGGACAGTCACTAAGTCAATATCACATTATTGTGGTAAACAACTGTAAAAAGGTATAAAAACGAATGATCTACGTTTTATAAACTTGACACGATGGTCAAATACTAACATTGTTTATAATCTGTAATTTCCACTAGGATAA